GCTTGAAAAACTCCATGCTCAGCATAACTTAGCCTTTGAAAGGCGTGTATACGCGGAGAAAAGTGCCCCCGCGCGTATGGTTGACTGAACACAACAACGTAGAACAATTTAAAGGGTATCATTATCTCACAAAATAGAACGGAAGGAAAATGATCGTATGCATATCTTTATTTGCAGTGCATCAAAATGGTTGTATATGAAATGTAAAAAGTATATCTAAAAACACGTATTTCAAATATAACATTACTAGACTTTGATATATCAAAAACATGTTTCCGAGACTAACTAGAAACATGCAATATAAGGATTGAATTGCATTATGTATTACGTACGATATATTGTTATTGGTGGTGTTGTGTTGTGAAAGGAAGTCGTCGTTTATCAGTGAACGTGAGAGAAAAAAATGATCGGAGACTCTGCATTATAGGATACGACTTGTTCAAGAGGAATTGTCTCCATTACGTTCATCGTTATCACTTGACAATCAGATGTCTTTCTCGTTGCTGTTTACGCAGTTTAGTCATTAAACATGAAGATATTCTAAAATGAACTACTCTGTGTCAATCACCACCTCGTCAACAGTCTGTCTCTGGGCATATTCAAGATAAAATACATTGGAAATGTTGAACACACAATTACTGCGGAAGAATAGCTACCAATGGCATTGTAAAGGAAATGTGCCCTCTTGTGTTTACAAAATCATTACCACAGCTTTAATCGAGATATGATTTATCTGATTTCTGTAACATGATCATTATTCCACACCGGCAGCAGATATAAAACGTTCCTACGTGCTCATGCAAAATTATTTTACATTTTAGTTGATATCCTTCTGTTCTCATCGACATATTTTTATTACACCATTTCCTTTGAGTAATCGTAACTCACCCTTTCTCCATGTGTTTAATAGCAAATTGTAATTCATGTTGATATAAGGAATCGTGCTGTTTTGTTTTCAAGGTTTACATGTCGAATATAACTCAACCTGAAAACAGTTTTATACCTATTAATGTAATTTCAACATTTTTGCAAATTCATGTTAAAGGAAAATGACTATGACAAAGAAAACCACACAATTTGATATGTACTTCTTGAAAACTGAATGGATGGTGCAGTGTGTCGCATACTTGGAATTTCCTTTGACAATAATGTATATTTATGCTAATAGCCAGTCAAATTTATTCGTATTTCGTATTGGTCTTAAACGTGTACAACAATGATATTTTTTATTGTAATAACTGGCATCATACATGTATATGTAAACGGAGTGCTTTGGACCCGTATCTCACAAATTTCAAAATTGAATTATGTGATTACCATTGAAGACCCGTGGTTCTACAGCAATACGCTAGAGCGAAACACGAAGCAAACGTGACATTGCTGGACGACTCTTCAGTTGTCTCATTCTAGTTTGACAATACTGACATCGATCTTTCTAAATGATGCCGAATTGATGCTTTAAATATTCCGGCAATGTCTTAAATGCAGCAAACGTTGTTTGTTTATTTGTTTATTTTTTACGGGTTTGGCGTCCTCGATGCAGCTAATGCATATGGAGGCAATGTCCACTCAAGGACGCTCTTATACTGGCAGACATTCAGAGACAGAAAACTATTCTAATTGTAAATGTCATATCGATTGAGGCTAATGATTGATAAAATAAGGCAGTTTAAAACTAAATGATCGCAGTCACCATGCTCCTTCAAACGCGAGACGATCTTAATTCCTGCAGGCTTTCTTTAAATTCAAAATTCATGCCAGATTTGTATTTAAAACAATGATGTAATAGACATTAAGCAATAAAGGCAAGAGTCTTTCAAGGTTTAGACCTCCTCAAATATCCAGAAAGTTATTTTGGACAGATATATTCATGCATAAATGGATGGATGTAAAATTTATTTATTTCTAATATCATCATATCTTATGTCTTCATTTCCGATCTAAAACTAAATCAAGCTGATAAAGCTTAACGTCCCTCTGTATGTTGTACTACATGTGGTATGACGGAACCAGGCAGATTACTCAATGTGTCCTACATGGCAGTCTTCTTCTAATGCATTCTCTCCATGATCGTAATGTGTTTTCTTCCCAATAGTGTATTACTTGTATATTATCTCAGTTGATATCAGAATGGTCTGTAATAATCATCTAGAGAGGCTAGACAGTAAAATCATTACAACAAATACTTTAATAACATTCGTACTTTTGTAAATAGAACCAATCCTAGTAGATATTCTTCAATTCTTCTGCGTTAATTTTCGCATTTAAATATATCTTCCTCGATTGTTCGCAAAATTAGTTACATTTCATTATTCGTTAATTAGTGTTGATAATTTTTTTCGTATATGAATAGTAGAGATATATTTCTGTTGGCCAAAACAAATGCTGAGATGACGTAATGTAATCGTGGCGCCCATATGAAAACGAAAGGGTCCGTCGATAGGTTGGCGGGGTTAATACTCGACCTTGACACATAAGTGTGTAGCTATCGATCGATTAGTGCAGACGACAATAAGGGAATAGGTTCGAAATTATAGTTTGGGAGAATTTCTGTTTGAAATCGTCTGTGGTTCGTATCAGTGTCATAAAACAATTCCAGTATGAGCGTTGCGTCTCGTGCGCCTTGGCTTCGACCAGGTACATTCCCTAAGACAACCACTATGTGTAAGGATTAGATTCACATCAGTATAATAAAAACTGTTGCAGACTACAAACTCATAAAATGCTCCACTTATTGTACCCTCAAGATAAATTATCATCTTCGGCTTCTGGTCACTGAGAACGGTTTGCACTGAACAAACAATGATATGGTTATTCCGCATAAGACCGGTAAAAACGCATCCCTGTATCTCGGCTATATAAATTTGCCCGATGTGACTTACGCGTAATGTGATATACATTCTCTGTCATTTCACTGATAGACACCCAGGTTCGATTCCTGAATTAGGCAGGTGCAGCTCTTTCCTGACATTTTCTGTTATGTTACGTTCCAACAATTCTCCATGCAGCTATTGCAAATCATTCACTGGTCCTATCTGTTTTCTTTAAGTGCTGAATCACTCACTTGGACTTTGTAGAACGTATGTATTTTAGATACTTCTTATAGTAGTTTAAAGCTTGCAGTCATTTACTACAAACACTGAGGTCTTGTCTTCGTACTATGGTAAATGTGGTATGACTTTGTTTTTTTGGGTGAAATTCTTGTTTGACTTGTGTTACATTCATAGGTTTATACACGTGCTGTCTTATTGAGACCTGTCCTCGTGGATGTATCGCTTCCGTGTTTTTGGATGATATCTTTACAAACGTATCCCTTCTTGTTCGTTTACAATACATGAGTTTCATGCTAGGCTATTATTAAAGTTTTATTGAGAGTTGATCAGTAATTTTTACCGACCCTCTTTCTCCTGCAGTTTCATTCTATATGATTGATAATTCTGATGCTACCTGTGAATCTCCACTACTCGGCGTTACTTGATAGTTCGTGTTATTTATCATGCTTATGACATTTCTTACATATATTTTCCGCTACTTACCTTTTGTCTTGCGGACGTCATTTGCGTTCTTTTATTAAGCAAATTATTATTTTTATAAAATATATCTTATCTATATATATAACGGTAAACGATGCGGGAATCGTGTGGTTCTAACATGATATTATTAGCTGGCTGTATATTGGCGGTTTTCACTTGTTCACGCACATGACATGTAGAACTCTTTTCCCTAGGCAAAACAATCCCCAAGCCAACATATTAGGTTTTTAGAATAAGGTTACTTTGTAGCTAAATAATGATATCAATTTGATAGGAAAGACGGAGCTATTTCATTGTACACGCCAACCAGCGAATAACCTAAAAATTGTTACACCAGGGAGCTAATTAGGATGTCTGCCTACCCCGTCATAAAGTCAACTTTACATGGAGCGTCTCTTTCCTGCGTCCTGGCGATTCAGTTGCCGTATATCTGTCTGTGCCTCGCAGTGATGTCAGGTATAAGAGACACATAACAGTGAGTTGCATTCTCAGAAGTGCATTTCACCTCCAATGACAGGTGTTTGTGAATATCTGAACAGTGTTGAATAAAGGCGATCTAAAACATATATTAGTTCTTGGGGGAGACTAATGAAAACATTCATGTCGTGTTTAGTAAACATCACTAATATACAATTATGTCAAGAAGTTGTTTTGAAAATGCAGAATGAAATGAAGATTTACCTTAACAGCTTTCGTAAATGTCTGTTTATGACAAATGCCAAATATTCCACCCTGCAGTTACGTCTCAGTTAAGACGTTGATATACTTAAACCATATATTCACGATGGTGAGAAAATCACATTGAATCAATCATATTTTGAAAATACTGTTAACCCTTTATCTCTGTTCTGTCGTCTATCTGAAACATTGTTGACCCTCTATTCTAGCCTGTCTCCTCTCGGCCACATGGTTGACCCTCTATCTCTGTCCTGTCTCCTCACTGACACATTGTTCACACTATCTCTGTCCTGTTTCCTCTCTAACACATTGTTAACCCTCTATCTCTAGCCTGTCTCCTCTCGGCCACGTTTGACCCTCTATCTCTGTCCTGTCTCCTCACTGACACATTGTTTACCCTCTATCTCTGTCCTGTCTCCTCACTGACACATTGTTTACCCTCTATCTCTGTCCTGTCTCCTCATTGACACATTGTTTACACTATCCCTGTCCTGTTTCCTCTCTAACACATTGTTACCCTCTATCTCTAGCCTGTCTCCTCTTGGCGACATGGTTGACGATCTATCTCTGTCCTGTCTCCCCACTGACACAGTGTTTACACTCTATCTCTGTTCTGTCTCCCCTCGGACACTTCATGAACCCTCTACTTCTATCCTTTTCGATGAAAGGAGTCTGAAAAGACACATCGTTAACTCTTAATCCAAATTTCTTATATAAAAATGTTTTAATTTCTAACAAATGTTGTTGTTTTCAAGTGATTTGTTTCATCGCATCCGCCTATTTTCACAGTGATGGTATACGACGTTGGCAGATCCACAAGACTTCCGGTCCAACATGTGCTGATGACACAGCTTGGATGATGGTTCTTGATGACGATAACAGGACGCAGACATGCGCATGGGACTACCAGTCTGGGTTTTTGTACAGTCAGGAACCAGTGGCCGTACAATTTGAAAGAGGTAAAAGAGTGTACAAGACACAGTGTCAGTTTCGTTTACATATATATATAAATATAAACTTTATTTATTTTACAACAATTGCGAAACAAGTTATGTCAACTTATACTAATCACTCTTGTTGGCTCGGATGTAAGCGTTTACATAACGTCTGTTATATTCTGAACGTCTCGAAACAGTCAGGATCTTCAGATTTTCCACATAGAGAAATGAAATTGATATTAATATGTGAGATATTGAGCATAGAATAACTTATCGTTAACATATGTCAATAAATCTATCAATCTATGAATAAAATCAGGATAGCGATGTCCATTTCTATTTAATTTGGTTTTCCCCGGTACATAAATTGCACTGAATTTCAAATATATATGCACATTGTACATCAAAATGATGTATAATGTATTGTTTTATAATTATTTCTATGGTAACTCATCAATCTTACTAAAAGTTAAGTCCATATAATGTGCTCCGGTTGTGTTTTCATTAGTAGTCTTTTTTCTACATTTTCAACATAAGGTGATATTCACTTTTGTGACTTTTATGCCATACTATTTCCCTCTAAAATTCGTTGATATTCCAATTGGTAAATGTATAAATTTAAAAACGATCATGTCAACATGAAGTCCGGAAGCACCGAATGTACTTTTATATCTAATTGTTGTCTTAACATGAAAAATGTCTTCTTGCAAGTTTCGAGATTAGGACAAATGTACAAAAAATTATAATTTTGTTCTGACAAATATTATTCTACATTTAAATAAAAAGTAGATGTTGCTATTCAGCTTCGATCGATTTTTACATGAGTAGCCCTAAATTACATTAGAGATGATTCCAGTGGGATATCTTAGAGTACATTAAACGAAGTTACCATTGCCTTTCATAAAAAATATATCAAACTTGAACTATTACACAACAAAGTTCAGTACATATTGTGCAAACTAATGTGCAATTGCACTTTTGCCTCTTTTCCTCTATAATTCAACACTTTAGGCCCCTATAACCAAGCAATATATGTTTTCTTCTTTATTTGGCAAATACAGCTTTTGTTTTTTCTGTATTTAAAGTATTACATTTTTTAGCTGTCCGCATTTGCGTCTTTTGGAAAATTCCATTTCGTAAGTATATGAAATCGATGCTTTCATATTTGGCCTTTTTTCAGAGTCGTCGTTTAATGCCGCCAAAGTAAAACAGGCAAACGTTATGGGAGTCTTTCTGCATGGTCAGTATACCAGAGTTGAAAAAAGAAATTTGCACCAGTGAACTTATTATAAACATTGGACATTCTTTCCGAAAAATATGCTATATAACCACACATGTGCGTGGATTGTTTCAATTAGTAAATATTTTATATATATTTGTTAATGATTTAAACAGAAATTAAAACGGATGTTTTTTAATCATTTTCGTTATAATATTCACTGAATGAAACCATGTATATCATATCTAGGTTTTGGTAAATTAAAAGAACGCTACCTAACAACAGAAAGGATATACTTAAGAACGTGTAATAAAAAACAACGAGGGTCACCTAAACCTGTCAGCATCGTATAAACGTTTTCCACTAACTTTAAGCTAAAATGTATAGATGAATTATCATGTTTTCAAGCAAGATTGTTTTCTAGAAGGTTTGTCAAATTCTACACTGATTTTCAGGATGGCGTCCAGTCTTTAAGATATCTACCGGTAGTGACCTCGGATCTGCCAGTTCTGTGTTTGACCTTTGGTCTGCTAACGTTACTGTCAATGAAGGATCAGAAGCCGCTATTTCCACGTTTCCTGGAACACCAAATTTCAAATCCGGAGTGATTAATACATGGAGCAACCATAACATCCGAGCGGTAAGTCTTGTATATTACAGGTAAAACAACGTCCCTTAAACATACCAAGGATAATAGGATTATCATTAGGTTAATTATAGTTTGCTAAAGACCTAGCATCATCACTTTTAAAATATGTGAAGACATGTGTCTATATTCGGTGTTGTAAAAAAATAAAGTTCAAGAGTTGGAGCGTGTATGGGGCGAATCACTTTTTTTGGTTTCGGCTTCATTCCGGACAAAACCTAGTAATGAAATGCCACACTTTTATTTGATTCATATGAACCAATCTTATACACTAACATACAATTTCGAAGTATGGATCTATTATTTATAACCAAAACTGTTGGTTTTTGACTTAACTGCTTAATATGAAACACATAGTTCAACGCTTAAGTTGTTGCAAATACAAGTATACCGGGGAATCCCCTGTTGATGTATTCTATAGGCCTTATTACTTATATTCTTTGATACAACAATTTACTGTGATAGTATTGTTAAATATCTGCTAAGGGTGAAATTCAAGTCGTGTAACCTTGTTTGATGACATTAAAAGCCGGCACTTTATGAATGCTCGTTAGTTTGCCTGTTGATTTCGTTGTTGTACACATTTGAAAACGTGACAAACCTTTTATCGCCAAATAATTGCACGCCGAGTGTCCTCTTAAAGGAGTCTCTGTGTTAACCTTTTTTGTATATTTTACCCTAGTTTTGACGAATTTGAGTTTGTATTATGATTATGTTGACAAGTTTTTATTTTCTTGATTGTTATTATTACTACATTCGTAACGGCCATCAACCGGTGAAACACAGCGATCCAAAATAAGGAAATGACATCAAACAAGCTAAATGGTAAAAGACAAATGCTAAAAATCTTAAATGGTTTATATCATCACAACATATCAAAATGGTATATCATAGTCTATAATATAAACAAACATCTTTCAGAATTGTATAAATCTCAACAGTTTCTAAAAGGGTCTTGATCCTGTTAAGATGATCCTGTAGTTATGTCCTAAAACTTTCGTTTATGATAGGTAAAGCTGGCGTTCTATGTCGGAGGCTTACAGAAGGCTTACGCAGTATTTGACACTACTACAGCGGACCAGCAGAATTGGCTCGACTGTAAACGTCTTCTATACACCAGCTACGACGACCTATTGACCAGAGATCCAGCTACTTGTAGCATGCAGGGGTGGGTATGAAGCATTGAACATCGATAATGTTAATAAATGTCATGACCATTTTAACAAACATGGTAATAAATACATAATGTTAATATATCATATTTTCTATTTTTTCTAACTCCTTACCGAAGCCGTATTTTGCTAGTTATTTTTTCATGTCCCTTGCTTATGGCGCAGAACATAGAACACATTACAACCCTTTGGTATTATTGACTGTTTTTGCCTTTCATAGGTGCCATTTCATCTTCGTCTACTTGATTGCATGGCAGGAGAGTGTTATCAATTAGATCCTAAGTTTTAGTGTAAAAGATTACCAATATCACTGTTTGCACTCTATTAATGGAGAAGTAAATGAATATTTCATATACTGTCGTAACTTAATACGATTTTACTGCCAGTTATGAAAGTGGAGACACTGTCGTTGAATTCTGTTCTGGTTATGTATACGGTTTATCCATTTTGTTTCAGGCACAACTAAATTATTCATCGTTGCGGATAGTAAAAACTCTCTTTAATTGAATCGGTATCTCAATATGACTGATCTTCGATATTCCGATTCTTTATTAAAGAATTTCAGTTTGGTGTCTTGGTCTTCGAGAAAAATATAGAAATATCGGGGTTTTGTTTTTGTTCACTGTTCACAAGATTATGCGTATATAACAGGAGGTATATCTGTTGACAATTCTAAAATGGAATTTAAATGTCTTCAATGTTTATTTACAAATAGAGCCAACAAGCTCAGTATTATAATTGCGCTCAATATAATAGCCTCAAAAATGTATTGAACATATCAAGTACTTGTCAAGAAAATATATAGATATCGAATGCATGATATTCTATGTAAATAAAGTTATATCTAAATTGCCGGTCACTATTGTACTGTGTTTATTTGAAGATAATTATTGTATCAATGTATTGTGATCTATGTATTCATACAATATAATAGACAATATCCAACTTTGCATGCCGAGAATGTCCAACAATTCATAACTGCAACATCTTGCTTGTGATGGACACGCAGGTTATAGTTAGACAATGACGATTTACCATTGATTGTAATATCAAATTCAAAATGTGTAAATTTCGTCACCCGTTTATTTATTTAAAATAAGCAAGTCAATTATTAATTGTCATTGTAGGCAAGCATCTGAAGGGCGTAGGTTTTTTGTCTCTGGACCGGAAATGGACTGCGATAACACTAGTGCCTGGTTCGTGCTCCTTGACAAAACAAACATTGGTTCATGTTCATGGGAAACTTCCTCTACAGATCGTCCAAGGTTTCATTTCTCGGGATCCCCAACGAAACAACCTGTTGAAGGTAGGTAGTTCAACAGAGATGAAAAAAGTTATCTAATGGCAGTTATGTCATTTATGTTTGTTCCCTAATCAGTGAATAGCATATAAAAGATAGAAATTGTTCCACCATGATCATCATCGCACTAAACTACAAGGTATATGTTTCACATAATAACAACAGCTACAGTTAAAGGATGATATTTACAATACAACAAACAAACGGAAACGGGAAATAATTTAAGGAAAACGTCGGTGGCCGCATGACAAAAATGGAACAATAAGCGAGATGAGCGTGTGTACAGCAAAGACTAGTCAAACATAGCATTGAAAATTGCGTTGATAAAGATAATGCCTAATCACAGACACCAATACAGAGTAACAATAGAAATTTCCGCATGTAGAGGCAAATGTTTACGTCTAGTTACACTCACTAGTACGAGATCACAACAGAAATAGGCAGTTTACAGGTCGCAATGAATTTGATATTCAAGGACCTGTTCCCATTATCACGATTGTCGTGCAAGAAGTCGTCCATGGACGAACAAACTCGTATACCAGGGTTTCCAGAGATGCATGTCGATGAAATTTATGATGAAATTTTACTGTCGTCATAGTGATTGTGTTGACAATTAAACCATGTTTTGTGTTATATGAAAGTGGACGTGTTTTATGTTCATTCGTTTGCGTCTTGATTCCGTTGTTGTATACCTTGTTCTCATTTGAGAACGTGACATTACTTACTTTGATTGACGAAGATTCCTATGATGGGAGTCTTCGTGTTGATATTTCCTCTGTTAATATTTTTCTTAGTTTTATTGAATTTCTGTTTGAATTATGTTTGCGTTGACATGTTGGTATTTTTCTGTTTTTGTATAATATGTATTTGTTTCAAGGATCTTTCGATCAATTAATTAACATATAAACAGCAGTAATCATAATACAAAACGTACGCCGGGTTTCAAACATTACAGTCAAATGTCTTTTGTGTTCCTGTCTTCTATTTTACTTCTGATGATTTCAAACTCATTTGGTGATTGGGTTGTAATCCTGAGCACGCGGAAAGTGTACACTCCATACTTACACATACCAGACACGCGAAATCAATAGAAACAAACGCGACTCCTGTACATGCTTGGTACATGCAACTGTCAAAATTGTCTTTCATTTTTTTTCTAATTTTCCTCTGACGTTAATTGTATATTACTGTATAGATAGCGTTTCGATCGATCTAGACATTGTCTGTGATATCCGACAAGCCGTTTTAGTTTTTGTCCATCACTTTTAGTAAGATGTGGATCACCGCCACGTGTTCATGGTATCATGCAGTTTTCATTGTTGAATACATTGCAATAGTGCTAGTGCGGCACATTTCTCGAAGATTGTGCTAATGCAGAAACTTCACACTCATATTTTTTATTTATCGACATATTTGATTTGTGAACATATATTTTGAATTTCACAGATACATTCACTTTAAATTCAGAATTCGGTGATACGATGAAAATCTGACACGGCAATATAAAGAGACACGTGATTTAGAGTACATTGCTGGTACATTGTAACAGCAGCATGTCATTTCATGTAATTATGTGTTTATGTGTTTCAATCTATCGCATTTTCACAAGAGGTTATATCACGTGCATACCTCGGTTTATTACAGCATATGTCCTTGTATATTGCACCCACACGATCTGTTTCATTATATTGCATATACAATTACTATTTCCACATCATATGATTTGGTATATCGTCTCAATAACATTTGTTCCGGTATATCACTTCCACGAGACCTTTGCTGATATATCGCCTCCGCAGTATGGTAATTCGGTATTTCGCTATCTTGTAAAGTTAGGACGGAATCACACCACTTTTGTCTTGTACTCTAAAAAGGATTAACGAGCGTTTCGTTATGTGATTGAAACAATATTAATCGACACTGTTGCCATTTACTTTGCAATGAACAGCAGATCCAACAGAGGGTCGATCAATCAGAGTGTTACAGGCTCGTCTTTCTCCTTCAATACAATTTTACGTTCACCGAAATTAAATACGTAGTCATTAATTGCTTGAAAATGTGTTACACTTTTGTTGAGGAAACAGATGACCTTATCAGGTAACAGGGTGATTCTATTGCGGTGTATTTAAGTGTATTTGTTTTAAGATATATCGACAAATGGTAACGAGTAAAACCAGACCAGTTTTCCTCAACTTTTTTTATTCTGACACACCAGACAAAGCATCTGATGAAATCTTCGTATGTTTTTTTCTTGTTGGTATCATATATTTAGCGAAGTTTTATATAACCAAACTATAACGCCCTGTTGATAACATAATTGATAGAGCAAGCGGAAAATATGTACAAAAGAAAGATTTACACGAAGACTCCCGTCAAAATACTAGTCGAACCGAGGACATTTTAATACGAACAGGAATGTATCGTTTGCTGCGTCGACGACACAAACCAGGGATATATTGGTCCTTCAAAATTCGTTCACAAATGATAATCAGTACTTATACGTTTTACTGAGAAACTTTGGACATTATTTTTCAACCCTTTTACCTTTTTGTTAATAAGGCGAAAATAACATGGTTAAAGTTTCAAGTAAGAGATTCATTATTAGATTTTTTTTTATCTTTTTAAGGGCGAATAGAGCAAAAACTTGTGATAGGAGGGCGAAAATAATATTATGAGATTGTTTCTTCTTATACAACATACCGCACAAGGAAATCAACGATGTCTAAGAGAGACCAAGATCGTGGTCCTATAGCTTTTCTATTGTCTTTCGCTGGCTGTTGTTGAGACATCTCGTTATTCGTCTTCGTTTAGAACATAAAAGTAAATGAAACACATTAGTAAGGCTTTATACATCAGTAGCAACATAGAATGGAACCCCTCCTATCAATTAGCGTCGTCCCTATAAATCAACAGGGAACAAATTATCCATAATTACCCTAGATGTCTATTAACGACAACCTATTCGTGCCAATGTGAATAAAAACGATAATAGGAAAATACCCAACAAGATAATATAATCATAATCCAAACACAAATTCGATAAAACTAGGACAAAATATTGCCAAAAAAAAAAAAGATTTACACGGAGACTCCTGTAAAAGTACAGGGAGAATAAGACCGTATGTTCCGAAAGAACAAATGTCTTCAGCTTCATTGACGACACCCACCATGTAAACCTTGGTAATTCCAAGTAAGAAATGTCACGTGCGCAAATGAAAACAAGGTATGCAAAAACAGAACGAACAGACAAACGAACGAGCATTAAGCAAAACATGTTTTTTGTTGACGAAGAAACTTTCTGTTCCAAAAATGTCAACAGGGATGATCTAGCAACCTGCAAAAACAATATGACTAACTGAACTCATTGTACCATGAATATCCCAAATGTATTATATCTACAACTAAAACAAAGTAACACTTTCGTAAATATAAATGCAGTTTACATTTTTCATCTAGATTCTGATCTGTTGAAAGTTGCCTAGACATTTCTTAGATTTAACGTGTAAATCGTGCATCCGATAATCTAATGCTTTTACGCTAAAGCAACAAGCTATTTATAATAGTATTGTTATTGTAATTGACCATTTGCAGGAACAAACGTTTCGTAATCTACTGTTCCTTTTATAGGTATGCTTTGTAAATGATAAAAGAGAAGTTTTGTATTTGTGACAGCTCATTCTGTAGAGAAATCATTTATATCGATCTGAACACTGAGAGCTATACCTTGCGTTATAGGAACCAGTGATTTCCAAAATGCCGATTTTACTATTTTTTCAACTATTCTAACTAGAAGCCTATATATGTCATTATAATGGAGAAATGATTGTACGCCCATTACCATAGAAACCGCCCAAAGGCACGATGTGTCAAGGGGAAACATTGTATCCATGACAACAGGCCTGATGTCGTTCATTAGAAGTCTGCAATAGGGCATTAGGCGTACTCCGAGAAGTACAATCTTTTAAACTTGAATGACTACCGCATCATTATTTTGCTATACAAATTAAAACGTGGTGTGGTAAGAATGTTAAAATGTCATATTTTTAAAACCATTTCTTTTTGCTTTGTTACATCATCGATTCCTGAAGTTTGGCACCTGTTGTAATTAAATTAGACACATTACGTAACGTTGTCAGCCTTAATGCATACTACAGAAAAGCTATATTCACGTGCACGTGCGCACAATGTCAATACGACAAATTAAGGCACTCAAGTCTTTATATATTCAATTATCTTCATTTCCTACAGATTTTAGATGATGCAGTTGAGTTTGAAATAATTTGGAGGGACACGGCATTACCTATACATGCCGCATGCAAGGACTTTTATCTGTATCAAGAATAATTTAACCAAAAGAGATTTATATACCAATACTCATACTCAGTTACTTTAGTTTAAGTTACGCCAGAAATATCAAATAACATATTTTCTTGTATATGGCATGAACTATAAATAACATCCGAAACACCACAATCATCATTAGTAACGCAATCCCTAAAGCGTTAGATTGGCGCTGTGAACAAAAGTATTGGATCGTTTTTCGTTTTTTTTCTTTTTTTTTTTTTTTTTTTTGTTTATTAGAATTTCATTTTGAAACTGTTTTACGGAAGAAAAATTAAGAATACAACTAGTATTGAAAGACTGCCATCTTAAACAATATACAAAGATAGATATATACACAATTAACAAAGATAACAGAAGACACTATTCTGAATTAGTTTTATCCCAAAATTAATTCTTAAAGCTCAGTGCAGGAGAATCATTAACATACATATGGCGTGTTTAATGATTAAAACGACCATGAACATAAAACAGCAACAACAGTAAGAAACGCTTTGTTTCATTGAAGTCGAGTAAGACTTGTTGACAAATTCATTAGCAAGAGAATACCAACTTTTAAAAAAATCATACATCAAACTTAAACAAATGATGACAGATGATGACAAACTTAAAATAACGAAAATCTCGAAGGAAAATAAAGCATCATTTCGTCTTCTACGACACCTATATCATAACTTTATGTAAATCTTAGAATCTCAAAGCTACGGAAGCACGTACAACACATTTTCATCGAACAATCTAAGACGTAGTTTATAAGTTTAGAATCATTTCCACTAGTTTCAGTAACTGAATTCTATCATACTCGTTCTGAATGTTGATTGTGTTGACATGTGTTTTTACATCAAATATTCAAATATTACACTTTTTCAGAAATAAAACTATAATTTGTTTAATATAGCAAGTATTATTGCTGTTCACTTATGTCATGATATAAATAATAATGTGCTAAATTTTACGCGTTTTATTTCATTTCTTTGATATGGAGCTTTGTCTTACTTATAATTGTGTACAATCGTTTATTGGGCCGATCCCCGTACTCATTTCAAGCAATGATGTATCCTTTCATTGTAGAATGCTACAACTTAGCTGTCTCGGTACTTGTGATATTTATTGATATGTCAATAGTTTTCCAGGAAATAACAATATACTTTGTAAAATATTTTTTTAAAGCTTTCTTGTTTTTCTTTGGTATAAACTTCATTTCGATTATCGTCTTTTAGAATTACTTGTAAGAGTTTTTTTATTATTGGATAAATCATGACAACTTTTGCTTATTTTCAGATCTTATTGAAGCGGATACGTTTGTCATTTACGTTGGTAAGTTTTACATGCGTGCATGTCTGATTCTAAATAAAGGCATAAAACTTTCGTTACTTGTCTTTAAAGTACAAGTATCATGCCATGGATAACCTTTGGCAAACTCCAGAAGTTGCCTACTGTTATCAAGTTGAAAGTTTTACTCCTGCTGTGAACTGTATGCCGAAAAAACGTGTTGTTTTCTGTTGAAGTTTAAACTTAATCGTTGCATCAAGATTGTACAAAAGACAGATAAGTGAAATGCACATTTCAATACAACTCAAGATAAGATACGGTAGAGCCAAACAATGAATTATACTGCATCATACATCTATTTCATCAATGTACGACTCGTCAGTGATGTTAATGGCCTAAAGTGTAAACCTAGGAATTGATCAGTCTATCAGCAACAGCTTTGGTGGGAGTTTGTTGAGAAATTATTTTCTGGAATTTTCCAGAAAAAAAGCGTGATTATCTCAGAATGGCATCTGAAAACGTCGACTAAACCTTAGACTTAACAGCCCTATGTTTGTAGTCTAATCGGCTTTCATGAGATAATACATTGTTGTCATCTAGTGCAAGTACTGACAATCTTCAATTCTACATTTTATTTCTACAATTATCATATCGTCATCTGGTAACACTTCATTCAACTTAATGAACATAAGGATATATAACAGCCGAAAAACCCCTTTTTACCAACTTAGCACTGTAAAACAAATACGCGCCACAGTAGTCATTTGTCTGATGAAGGTGACAGTGTAGTAATCAGTTTGTTTATAAGAGCTTTTCAATATACATCATCGACCCTTTATCGAACTTATATCATTTGTACATTTCTACACAGGAATGTGATATCGTGTGGGGGTCAGCAAATGTCATTTACGAAATCGTAACCGAGGGTGGTGAGCTGCACGGACACTTTCATCCCATTTGATTGTTTCTACAACAAAATTAACTTAATGGCCGCTATGCCATCATCTATAGAATGACACATCACCATCTGTATGCTCATGTAAATATCAAACGTTTGATAATGTTTTGGCAGCACATTTCTGTTGTCAGCTCTTTCGAATGCTACTTAATGATACACATGTTCTAATCAGTGTTGATTACAACATTTTAAGCGGACCATTTATCGTTTCTATTTGTCTAAATATGTGTATCTTCCTCATCACAGACAAAAAACAGACATATACATCATTTTTCGCGGAGAATCATTTCCATTCTGTGTCGGAGAGGCTTTTAAGTATAGTTATTTGCGGAACAGATTGAACGTTGATAAATTGGCAAAGAAACATTTTAGCGCCTTTGGAATGAAAATATGTTTCAGATCCATAAACACATTGATCCTTTTTTTCTTTCACAAATAATTCCATTTTAAATGTTGAAAATATGACAAAATGATGATTTCGTAACAAACGTGCTTTTAGAAAAGTTTTTAATATACATGCTGGAAATATCTGATGCGCCTGATTTTTAATATATAAAACATGTAATTCTTAATAATTTGTCCTTTGTACGTCGAATACGGGAAATTTTCCCCTATTTCCAATAGTAACTTCGTTTGATCTAGACAAAACAGAGTATAGATATAGAAATGTATACTGTAATAGAATCATGCAAAAAAAGGGAAACGGATAATTTTCGTTGGAAATGAATGTCATGTTTCATTATAGGGTCATACCGGAGCCCCAGCAATGCGAATTATGTGTAGGCATACCGTTATTAGGGCGTTTTGGATGGATCATATGGCTAGCTTGCTGTGACGTACGCTTAAATCCGAGCATTTATATCTTCTATACATCCGTAATTTAGTTTTCTTGAAAGCAATATAATTTTATGAATATCGTTAAATATTGACTTTAATCATGCGCTGTCAGCTCAGTCCATCCTTCAGCTATTTTATTTGAAAACCGTCTGTGGTTTGTCTCTCTTACTTGTACTCTATGCTATTAAATACTTTGATGAAAACAGGAAAGAAAACTTCATCTGCAGAACTTCAATGTTGCTTTAGTTTCACTGACTAGTATATATACTAAGGTAATTACAAGCAATGCGTTTAATGCGTTATAACTCATTTTTGGCTATGTTTTATCTAAACTGTACAAGTCTTAATATGTTCTTCTTTTTATATAAAAAGAGGGGGTTTTGATTTCGTTGGATGACATTGAAATAATATATATAAATGATCTGATCAATCGTATCTAATCTATGTTGTAGATATGGCAGAGTGTACAACTAATCCTTGTGAAAATGGTGGAAGATGTGAGGAAGTTGCTGGAAGACATGTCTGTCACTGCACTGATGGATATTACGGTGCTTCGTGCACAGACCGTAGGTTTAACACAACGTCATTACGGTGCTAATTCAGAGTAATTGATTGAGTTCATTCTGGATTGGAAGTAAATTTAAAATTCGTCTTCTTATTAAGTCACAATATTAAAATCCACATTCTCCGTCTCAGTGTAGGCGTTACGACGGATACTTATTGCAGGGAATCTTTAAATATTTATGTCTCAATAAAGGATTAGGATTTGATAGAGGATCCAACAAACACTTTGTCAGTACATGTATAAAGCATATCAATTCTATCTATTTCCAACAGTATTAGTCACCAGAGTGAAAGGGGCATTTATTTTTCAACAGGAATATTAAAATACCAGTATCATCAAAATCTATACTTAACTACTGTGCAAACCTTGAACGTGTCTGATTGTAATATTCCAAAGAACTGTTTGAAATATTCCCTCCCTAAACATATGTATGGTATTTTACCGTTTCTGGTATCATTTGTGAGAGTATTCCACCGTCAACCAGGCTGCATGCGCTGAAACCAAGATTTTGTCAAGCTGCAGTCTAAATGTTGGTTTCTTATTACTAACATAGCTTTGCTTCATACAAATGGTATAACCGTTGCATGATTTAGTAGTTTAAAACTGTACCCAAACTTTTCAAGCGTAAATATCGCATGCATTGTTATTGGTACTCTTCAGGATTACGTCCCTGCTCTCAATCATTCTATGTTGTTAATATATCTAGAAAACGTCCACCGCATCTAGATATATTTAGATGCGTGTTTAAACCGAATCTGTAATATTTGTTTAAAACTGAAATTTTGGCAAAGATAAATAGGATTTACATGTATCTATATTTTTTAATGTAAACCGTTATGATTTAAAAGGGAGGTAATTCTGTTAGTTACCATTTTAGAATTCACCAGCATGCGCTACGGTATAAAAACTAACATTTCAGTTTATAGATATTTATTCAGTCACACATATTTGGCAGCAGTATCTTAGCATGACCATGCTCTCTAACAAGTGAGTATTGTTTTGTAATTAACTCATCAATGATTTGTCAAATTCAAGTAAAAAGTTACCATGCGAAGAGGAAGGTCACATGTTATCGCAGATAAGGGATTACTGTTTGTTTTGACTCTTTGTTAATGTAATATTTCTATACCAAGATTCCAAGAGATTTACACCTATCTGCGTGATCGCTGCAATAACTTGTTTTGTGATGCAGGTTTGTAGAAATTCAGAATCACGTTATCTACGACAAAATGCACTATTTGATCTCTATTCAGATGTTTAAGTGTATGATTCAAGTGTGCATTGTGTTTCACCAAATAATTGAAATCTGTCCGTTTCGGACCCATATGCATTGCTATCTATGTTAAAATCGTTTCCGTATATCACACCAGACCATGTAACTTCAGAAAGAGTTATCTGCCCAAATCTTATTCTTAATGGGGAATACAGTGACGTTTATATAACACGATCAGCAGAGGGATTAACTTAGGAAGAGGATGACCACACAAAGACACACACGTGAATAGAACATTATAATAGAATGTAGAACAAGATGCCATAGAAACAAAATAGCGAATTAAACTGAATTCTCGTCCATTTAGGACTAATCAGCGATGTTAGCAGCATAAATTTGGTCGCCATAGCAATCTAGACGGGAAGATGTAATAGCTGAATAATTTGATACTTTGAATTGATCAAGTTGACTATGGCGGGTGTCGGCGATGAAGCTGAAGACGCGTACTCTTCGGAACACCTTGTCTTATTCTCCTTATACTTTTTCAGTAGTATTTCTTTGTTACTCTTTGCTCTAATTCAATTGGATTTGAGTTTGGATTATAACTATGCTGACATGTTGGTATTTCATGTTGCATTTTGATACAGTATATATTGGATAATTCCAGAAGAATTTTATGTATATTTGTACTTTTATATATGGCATGCAGGTTACGGCAAACCTCGGGGACTAAACTCTACCAGAAGTGTTTACCATCTAAACTATAGAAAATTGTACAAAAACGAAAACATGAATAGCATCTTATGATAAAAAGTTAGAAATAGACAAGTTGCCTATTTGATAGCAGAGCTTATATTTGCTAGTTATGTGTTTTTTTATTCCCCATTTCCCTGTGGGTATTGTATGATCCTGGACTTCTATAATTATCCTTACAATTTTGTTGGTTTGAGTTTTACATTTCAGCGAGTACGAAGCAGGTTACATATACATTTTCTGATACCTGCCTCAGTTAATGTCTGATATTTTCAGATGTCGAAATGTTATATGTTTCAGTGTAAATTATATTATTATTTTACCATTTTTAATCTGCGACCACGAGTGTTGAACTTCCGGTCACATTGCAGGAATGGGTGGTTGGTCTGATTGGTCCAACTGGACAGATTGCACGGTAACGTGTGGGGGAGGCTTTGTAAACAGAACTCGATTCTGTAATAACCCCCCAGCAGAAGGTGCGGGTACCTGTACAGGCCACTCGTCCGAAGCAGAAATCTGCAATACCAAAAATTGTCCAAGTAAGTATTTCTAGAAGCTGTGATCGTGGAACAGATATACATTAGGAAGTTTGTCTTTTATGATGAACCTTTAATCATTTGATACTTTTGAAAACTTTTGGAAACAAATTGATAAGCCATACTTCCTCACAAAAAACAAATACCTCTTGTACAAGATACAATTTCACACGTGACACCAATTAAGACTATATCTTATTTTTATTAATTTTTGATATCTAATAAAATGATCAAAGGACTTTGGAACCATTAGTATGATAATCACAACTATATTCTTATTTTGGCTTCAGTCGATGGCCAGTGGTCGACCTGGACGGACTGGTCAAATTGTTCCATGGAGTGTGCAGGCGGAGTTCGTAACAGATCACGTGTCTGTGACAGCCCATCTCCTCAGTATGGTGGCACTACTTGTCCTGGGAACGACACACATGAGAATTCTTGTAACAACGATCCCTGTCCAAGTAAGTTTACCAGGTATTATGTTAAGACTATAGGTTATTTGCCTGGGGTTTCAACTCATAACTAAGAGTAACTGTTGTTGTTACCTGGCACAATTAGTGTTTTAATGTGTTTCATGTTGTAAAACATTCCGTAAACTACCAACAATGTCTGTGTATTGGAAAATAACATTACTTGTTAATTGTGCAATATGAAATCGAAATGTTTCCATTGATCATCACCTTTGTCTATCAGCCTTTATCGCGAATATTTATCTTTACTGTTCCATTTCAAACATGCTCTAGAAATCATTCCGAGGGATGATTCACACACGGACAATATTCCGTTGCCGAAATAAAACTCCTGGACAGAAATGATCAAAGGATTGCATTTCAATCTTTGATTAGTTATTTGATATAGCGCATTCAGATAAAATCTGTTCAGGTGCTGCTATACAGTGAAATCCGGAGAAAACGGCAACTGTGACGCCTAGCAAACGCACCAAAGTTAATGATATAGGCCTGGTATATATAAATAGGCTATAAAATTGAACCATTGACCAGATTGTGATAAGCGTCACTTGGGATATGCATACATTTCAAACAACTTTATATACATCGATATGTATTTGGTATTTGTGAGTAAAGATACAATTCATATACATTAATATATTATTGAGTTTTAACAAATACAAATCAATACAAAAATACAAAGACATCAATTGTATGCACTTGTCTGTGTGTGTTTTTTTTTTTTTTTCTGATATTGTTTTCATTTGTAAATATGTAAATATTTCCCGCCGTCTTCTTAGGTTAAGTACATTACAGATATGTATTCATAGTGTTGCTAGTTAATGACCCTTTAAAAATAGAAGTTAGAATTATCTTAAATACCATGGTGTTGATTTCATATATGAATGTCTTCTCTGTTACGTCATACTTGAAGTTGAAACCCTGTAGAGGACAAGTAGAATAATGGTGTCGGTGACGACTGGCCGGAAGCCTGTCTCCGACCAGGATGTTCATGTGACATGACGTATTGGTAGGAGAAGGATGTAGAGGCTGCTGTAATTAGCTACCAGATCGTTCAGATGTTAACCAGATGTAGTTGTTCGTTGTGATTTCCGCCACGTGATAATAGCATGACTATAGATTGATTGAGACAAACTAAGGGTTTAATCCTTTTTTTTTCTGTATCATGATGGAATTGGTCATGATTTAAGTAGAAATTTATTTTAACATAAAACATGTTTATGATACAATACAGCAAATACCTTCCAACAATTTACACTTTCCTTTAAGACGCTGACTAAATAACGGTACACTTGTCCTATCGATAGGATCGATAATAATTTCTTCGTAGGTAAAAAATTAGACTTGTAGGAGGCGACTTAAATTGAATACGTTTCTTTTCTGTATGTATTAAAAACAACAAGAAAATATCAGCATTTTAACAGAATCATAATCAGAACCTTAATTGAACAAAAGAAAGCTTGATACTAAAATCCTGAAAATAACACCAGATGTTCCGAGCGAGCTATAAGCCTTGCTCAATCCATGTAAGTGATGTCATGTTACACAATCAAAAGATACACAAATAGAACCAACAGGCAAACAAACAAACCTAAAACATGTTAAGCTTCACAGCTTCAATTCGAATAAAACGTTCTTCTTCGTGTCTGAAATTGTCTGTACATTCAACCAAAACTTTACCCAGTTTTCTTATAACTAATTGTAGCTGTAAAGTTGGAGTCATGGTCTTATTGTAAAACTGGTCATACTTCAAGTGAAATAGAACAATTTTAATGAGGAGACAAGCTTTTTGACCAATTCAGAATATCTTTTCCATCATAACATTATTTTTTTTCAAAAAGGAAATCCACATTTTCTGATTTCAATACTTTGACTATTCAAAGGAAGATGAACGACGGTAAAGTATAACTTGTGAAATATACTGAAGCATTATATCATAAAAACGTCAGAAACCTTCGAAAATTACACAACGGATGAATCATGAACATCTGGTTGAAAATAGCTACGTTGCGTATAGGAGTAAATTGTTCGGTTCCAATGACAATAGCTGAACCCTTCGTTTTGCTAACCTATTGTTTTTGTTTTCAAACGTGACGATTCATAAAGTAGCTTATCAAAACAATGCAACAGATATATTGATCTGTGTCGTACCAGAACTGGAAATCAAGGACACAACAGATTCTTCTACAGCAGATACTTACCTCGATCTTTCGCTACAACGTAAAAATAGGGAAAACTTTCTAGCAAGCTGTACAATAAGCATTATGATTTCGATATCCCTTTTGTGATAACCCCATTCTGACACAGTAATATTTCTGCTTTCCCTACATATTGTGTAGTGAAGGATATCGACTGTGTGATCTATTCTATATAATCAAAATTATTTGCAATTGTGTTGCAAAGAATACAGATGTAGTACTTACAGATTTCATGCGATATTATAAACATTTTTAGCATGGTGATCGGAATTGTGCAAGAGTATACGGTCTTGTCATTACATACACCAGTTGTAAATGCGCGATAGTTGCTTGCATCCCTAATTTTTGTAAAACGTGATTAAAATATGACGAGACCTGAATGACATTTAGACGCTACGTTATGTAAGTATTTGCATATGGTAATATTGCTTTAACCAATTGCTCTTGGAACTCTTTTGTTTTCCGTGGCGTCGTCAATGACACCAAAGTGGTGCCACCTACTGGACCCGATAGAGTATGGCAGTTCAGTTGCACTCGCCGTAGCTCTAACAATGTGTATAGAATAACATGCTTTTTGTATTGTTTTATGAACATTGATGGTTATCAAATGCAAAGATAAGAATTGTTATCTATTGTTGCACTCGTAGCAAAATGTATTTGCTTTGGGGGAGCTATATACTTCACAATATATTTACCATTAATGTAAATTCACTTCCTAGTATGAACAGGAAATTAAAAAATATTTTCTGATTGATTGGCTGGGTTTCAGGCATCTTATCGTTACGTTGTATTATTCGAAAACTCTTGATTCCTTGCTCGGCGAACGTGATGTAAACGATTTTCAGATTTTCTTCAATAATAGTGTCCTTAAGTGCATTTAGAACATAGTAATAGCAGGCAAGGGACACATCAAAAGTACCGTTCCTACAGTTAATAGTCGAATCAACACAGGTCGGTAACCCTACCCAATAATATACGTAACTATATCTTAAAAACAGATGGCAGACAAACTCGTGTACGTTTAAATGTTGAATAAAAACAAGGTGTTCCATTAATTTGATGTAAAAAAGGTGGAATTGTTTTTAACACAGCTGTATGATGCGGTTTAATTCGTTGATTTGCTCTATTGTATCTAACTCTGAATTATTGCAAGGTGCTATTCATTTATATAATCTGTTCATGGGTAAGATTTTAAAATGTGATTTGTTGACATTATATAGTAATCCCATTTCTCAAAACTTGGGATGACTATTCTTATAAAACTTTCTTTTTAAAGTAACGGACATATAATTCCGTATGATTAGTCTGCTGAACAATAATGAAATGGCTGCGCGCCCGCTGATGAAAACATTATCCCAAATTGGAAATCAGCACACCAGACATCACTACGGCAGATTGAAATCACTGCAATGTACTTTAAAAAAAGAAAGCAAAAAGAAAATCAAATCTTATTTCATTATTAGCGTATTGCTGGAGTCTGTAGGCAGCAAGATGATATAGCTGGGGAGGTTATTGTACAACTCAGTTTGACTGCTGACGTTTGCAATAAACTTCACATCCAACACTTTATAATTCAATTGTACGTGTTTTACGTGAAAGACACAATAACAGACGATATGGATTTAGAGTAACGACCCACTACGCCTTGTTTATCAAACTGGATGCGTCTATTCTCCTTCACCTTTTCCCCTGACTTCTTTTCTGCTTTTAGGTTCCTCATATCATTATTCGGTATTAACAGGTCACTTGACTCATATTTCGTTGTTCTTTTTATAATGTGTTCTTGTCACATTCAAACGTTGATTGTTTGAAGTTAAACACACAAAAATACAAAATCAGCCCGCTTTAGGAAATGATATATTTGTCGTGAAAAGGCTGTGGAATTTTCGTATTTGCAGAAACTGTTTAGCGTGTCCATTATACATAAAGATTGCGATGCTTTGACAATGTAAGAATATTTACATTGTTGGCATAAAAACCAATCGACAGCGCGGCAAATATCCATGTATGTGTTTCGTTGATAGAAGCTTGTTTGAGTTTCTGCGTCTTCAGATTGAACACGATGTCTGTGGATGATTAGGTCGTTATAAGTACATAAGCATTCCATTTAGAAAACATGGATGTCGCTTTCGATATAATGAGACCTTATTTATGGGGCTGATAGTGATAATTTCCTGAAAACAAGTGACATTTCTAGATCTGTAAATTCATTGTTTGTGTCACTCATTGCATTGCCATGATATATTCTAACGTGGTTAATCATGGTAAGTGCTGATATGGCTTAATATGTCGAATATGATTCGTGATCTACTAAACCATTTCAGTCAGAAAAAAATGCATTTACTAATTACAATGTTTTAGTATTCTTGTACTTCATGCAGGGTTATACTAATGTTATCCCTAACTTCTCGTCTCGTTTGTATTAATAATCTGGAAAAAAAAATTAAACAAACAGTTCATTAAATTAATTAAATTTGACAATTAGATATGTATCATGTTTCTTTTGCACTTCCGATTAAATATACAAAACTCCTGGAGCTAGTGAAATGTATCCCAAAACAATGCCCCTCGTGCTTTGATGCTATTTTATGAAATACAAATGGTAGTGTATATAAAAATTATTCATTTACTGTGACATTATAGTTCGTGTTGTCGTCAATATCACTGATAATTCTTGTTATGTTTAACCCGTGTAGTTGATGGAGCATGGTCCGACTGGGGGAATTGGAGCGAATGTTCTGTATCATGTAATGGTGGTCTTCAGACAAGAAATCGGACGTGTAATAGCCCCAAACCCCAATATGGTGGACAAGAGTGTCCAGGAGACGAGTACGATACCAGCAGTTGTAACATAAACACAACCTGTCCTCCAGGTAAGAAAATAAATAAACAAATCTCAGGTAGGAACGCACATCTATTTATAATTCAGAAAAAAAAGAATGAATGAATGAATGAATGAATGAATGAATGAAACAGTGATGTTCTAAAAGCATTTTATAATGTCGCTATGCCCCAACCCTGTAAACATCGCTAGTCATATTATTGTTGATCCTTTTAACTCACCTACGTGAAAAAAGTTTGTCCTCAGCTTTTGCAAAACACAAGGTGCTAGCAGATTTTGATATAAATTTAGACAGGATACCATGAAATAATGAAGAAAACTGAAGGGTTCTAATATTGTGCTATACTAGCTGACCATCCTAAATTGGTCTCTATAGATTTTCAATTATATTTACATATGGAGACTGCAAAGGTCAGATTTAGACATTAATATCGTTTTCCGTTCCTTCTTGACACGTGCAGGGCAGTTTTCAGCTTGAAAGATGCATGCCTTGTCAGAAAAATAACAGACCACACAGTTTCATCCAGAAGCTTAATCTACTAATTATTGTTCAAATTTCTCTCAACGGATTTCAACACATCTATTACAGAAGTACAAACTCATCTTCCCCAAAACGGCACAGACCCATGGGGCTACCACCATGTACCGACCCTGTCCCTAAGCATTCGGGACATTTCTTCGTGACTGTTTTTTTTATCCAGATGTACTCTTTCTGATCTATTCCAAGTACAACTTGAATCTCATCAAAATATCTCACACTTCATAGCTTATTCTAAAAGGTTTTTTCCATGTTTCAATTCCGTGCGAATTATCCTTCATGTTTGATGATGTCTGTTATTGCGCTAAAATATCCCTACGCGAACTTGACGTATACGGGCGTTGATTCTTGAATTACTAATAACGCACTATTAATGGTTAACGATTATGGTACTCGCGAGAGTAAAATATTTTACTTCAGGTTTGTGACGTCATGAAGGAATCAAAGACCTTGGTATATTACTGCGTATATGCAGAGTAAATAAACGTATAATGAAATGGTCATCTCAGCACTATTAATTTCACTTAGTTTCAAAACAATTTAATGCATTCCTCAGCCTTAAAGAGTTTATCGTATGTCTGAAAGCTAAAACTAATATGCGAAAATTCCGTATTATTTGTCTTTATTAGCAGTTACATTCCATACCAGACCCGACATATTACGGCAGAATGTCACAAATGAAAACAATAGTCGAAAATGATGTGTTCTTCTGCAGAGAAAAAAATGTAGTATCCCATTTTAAGTTTTCTAATGTATCAGTGTTAAACAAAATAGAAAACATACTACCCAATTAATGGTTTCCGAATGTAACAACGTATAACAGAATAGAAAACATTGTACCAAATGCATGACTTCCGAATGAATCAACGTATAACAGAATAGAAAACATAGTACACCATTAACGATTTCCGAATGTGTCAATGTAATACACGATAGAAAACATAATACCAATTAATAGTTTCCGAATGTGTCAACATATAGCTGTAAAGAAAACCCTTTAATGGTGTTTGATTGTGTCAATGTTGACGAAATAGAAAGCATATTTCCCCATTAATGGTTTCCTAGTGTGTCAATATAAAGCAAAATAGAAAATAAAGTAGATTTTCCTAAAGCGTCAATGTTGAAAATAGAACGAAAACAATTATTATATACAAACATGGGGAATTCTAAATAGTAAAGTTACAGAAACGTATATCAATAGAATGAACTACTTTCCTTTATAGTTCAGTCGTAAAATATCTTTCTTTGATTTTGATATTTTCCGTGACAGTGTTTCACAGTCTTGCCGATTCCTACTTACGATTATTTCAGTTGACGGCGGATTCGGAGACTGGTCACCCTGGGGAGAGTGTTCAGCTAGTTGCGAAGGCGGAAACCACACTCGTTCACGCGCATGTGATAACCCACTTCCTGAATGGGGCGGAACAAACTGCACAGGAGTCTTCTATGATATTGGCACATGCAATGAAATCAATTGTCCAAGTAAGCGACATGTGACAGATACTGACCTATTTATTTACGTAGTATACTATACATATAGCAATGTATTTTAAAATTGTAGTAATTTGATGTACCCACCAACATTTTACAGCTTTCACACACAAGGTGCCTGTTACAGCCTCTCCGTTCTCAACTCTTCCTTAAGTATCATCAAAGTTAGTAGTTTTGATACAGAATTAAAAACAGTCTGCTCTTAGACATTTCTATAATATTCAGATTTAGAAACTATATTGAAATATTAAAAAGTTGAGACCAAGAAAATACGGAACGCAATGTACTGACTGAACCAAACATCATGAGACGGAAACGAAACAATCCGACAAAGGAAGTCTCCAAGACATTAACTTTCGATTCTATATTAGCAGTTATTTGGACAGGTAGATTACTAGTTCTATATTGTTTGTGCATTATTGACGTCAAAGTAGAAATGAACATGTGGTCACGATCGAGTTCCTAGGTAATATATAATGGTCCTGGTGGTTTTCAATTGGCTGATCATGTGCCTCAATGTATATAACAAAACCTTAGTGTTCAGCTGTTTTCTATTACACTACACCATTTTTATATTCTTTGTCTGCTCTCCGTCCATAGGTATGTGACTTTTTACTTGCAGTGTGACCTAACAAATTGTTGTGTCGTCTTTGCTTCATAGATCGCTAATATCTAATTTTAACTTTTATTTATTTTATATTAAGTTATTTTTCTTTCCTTTTGTTTGCAAATCTGGTTGACTATGGAATATTTGCCAAACAGGTGGAAGTTATCTACCACCATACATATTTTTTCCATTAATGCCCTTGTAAGTACTAGGTAAGAGCTATTAAAACTGTAACAACCAACTATCCTTTAATAACAGTACGGCATGAGAATGCATTACGACCGGACCTCTGAAATAACAAAGCGTTGCTCACCTCAAAAGGATAAATTGAACCGAATAAACAAACTGGTGATGCAAAGAACGCGCTTCGAAAAAAACTCCAAACACTTAGCTGTGATAGAGCAAATGAATGTTACACTTTACATAGGCGGATGCTCCACCTCAGTTAGGCTTTTACTCTGCCTTACAAAATGAACTTTTCTCCTGCTATTCACGGCTTTATATGATATTGATCACCGTTCTGCTTTTTAAGATAGATTTATGGAAAACCGATATCACTATTACTAGTTGGAGTGCAGATTCTACAGCACCATTTGGTACTGATTTCAAGTTGAGAAAGTTATTTCCCATCGTAATGCTACCAAGACACGACATACAGCAACAGTATTAGCCTTGTCGTTTTTTCAAATCAGTTTTACGTCTGCAGAATGATAAACGAACAATATAAATGAGCATGCTGTATGTCGAGACAACATTACAACTAAATATCGGGTACAACCCTGTCTAAAAACCAAAAATTTTATCTTCTTATCCTCGATATATCAAACTATCCAGTTATCTTGCGATGAGTTTTAAAGTGGATTTATCTTTTTTATTCTTTTTTTTTTTTTTGCGAGGAGAGGTGAAGTAATACATTTTAAAAAAATACCAGAATATTTTGAATGTACATTTTTTAAGAGATGATCAGTGACTTATTAATGATAATGATCAGAAATGTTTTCAGTCGTTTTATCGTTATTATAATAAATCAGCTGCATACAGTTTCATAGCTGTTATTATTTTTCGCACAGTTGATGGAAACTGGGGAAATTGGTCTGAGTACTCAGCATGTACCAACTTAAATAAGGCGGACCGGAAATGCGGAGATGGTCAACGGCTGCGCACCAGAGACTGTGACAACCCTGCACCACAATATGGTGGCGCTACCTGTCCTGGCAGCTCAAGTAGTTCAATACCGTGTTCAGTCAACTGTAAGTAGATTACAAAAGATTACACAAAAGATAGAAGATTCTAAAATGATGCATTAACATTGCTGCCCACAAAAGGCATACCAGTAAAAAGTACTTTTAATACAAATTTAGAGTTAGATAAAGTAGAACCAAAAAATGAATTAAAATGCACCATACAGCTGTTCCTTCCTTCTAGGACTTAACAGTGATGCTCTGAGTTTTGAGGGGAAAGAGAAAGCTCCAAAGGGATCAAAGAAAATGCAAAATCTAGACTGGTTTAGACGGGGAGGTGCACTAGCTCCCATTACTCAATAAATTTAGTAATTTGCCGATGACATACAATTTTAGAGCAAGGTCAAGTTAGGGTAGAGTAAAAGAATGTTGGTTTTATATTGAAGACAAGGGAATATCAAGGAGCTAAGGGGTCGTTATGGTAGTTTAGATATACTTTATAAGCAGTGTTATTCATTAACTGAACAATTAAAACAAATGTTTTTTTCGTATTCATTTCTTGCAAAGGAAGTAAACAAATGACTAATTTCCGATTCCATGTGGCTGTATTGGTCCAGAGAGGTTTGGTATGCAATGTAAAGAAGAATACCGGTAATGACTTTGGAACACTGTGGTGCCATGAAGAATTCTTGTGGCACTGTAAATGTTAAATAAACACTCATCTGATATGTGTGATTAATCAGTAGTGAATAATTCGCTACGATTTCACAAATTTATTTCGGAGTAATTATCCAATCGGACAAACGTAAAGCCCTTAATTTCCATGTTTACGATCCCGTGAAATTTAGAATACAATAAAAACTTCCGATTTAAAAGCGTTCGGTAGTTTGTCGTGATCCACCAGTATAATGGCTTAGGTCATCGATTGGAATTCTACATTTACATGAATTTGAGTGTTGGCCCGATATATTGTTTAGAAATTGCTGCAGCGGTATACAAATGTACATGAAATTAGATTGAAGCGACTACGTAATATGGTTATAATTAAATGCTGTTGAACATGCGTCTTTTATATTTAAAAAAAATGAAAGGTATGTTTACATTGACTTCACTTCTGCTGAATGAAATGATGTCAATTTCTGTATTAATAAATACATATATCTATCAGAATTGAACTTGTTCACATAAGATATCAATACCAGGTGTACCTAAATAGGCCTAGCTGGCATTCGTTTTATTTTTCTAAAGCAGACTCACGTTAACTTTGACATTAGTGATACCGATGTGATCTTTATGCATCGCTAAATAGGACATTATAGCTGCAGCATGATCGGGCTATAACAGCGCCCTTGAGTTGCCGCATCAACTGTGGACGACGTCTTTGTAAGCTATTAACTATTCTTGGCTAACAGTTAAATTCAAGCCAAATTCTCTTTATGGCCTTTTTCACTATGATATAGCTTCTGATGACACTTCAGTTTAAGGTTGCTTATTCATGTAAGTTTTTGACATTAGTTTATATCGTCCAGGAAAACGAGCTGCAGTATCCATATGGCCATCAACAGGCCATCAACAAAACAAGGAAATGGAAAGTTAACACATTTCATGTCGAAAATACATCTAGAAAGGTACAACAAAGAGAAAAAAAGAAATTTTAATTGCATCTTTTAATTCATTCATTTAAATGTAGATACAGTAGAGCTAAATAAAGGATGACAACATCTTACAGCTGTTAAGACTTCCTCGACTAGTCAGTGATATGAGACAATAGAGGAAAACAAACACCGATCGAAAAGAAAATGTCAGATCTAGTTTGGGAGGTTCACTAGCCCATAATTCAATAACTGCAGTACTTTTCATACAGCTGATACTGAGCATAAGTGTATTTTGAACCGTGTCACTATTGGAATGAAGTACACGTGGCATACAACTTACGACAAACCTCGGGAACTTAATGTCCGACATCAGTGTCTACCATCTGCAATCTTGAAGAGACATCCTCTGTTACCGATCTCGTGTGTTCGGTTCACTTATATCATTTGGTAAGAGTAGTGAAATTCATTTGCCTCTGCCTATCACGTAATCAGAAGCTTAACTAGATCCTGCTCATGAAATTAATCAAAATCTGCCTTAAACATGTAATTAGGACACTATACGTACCTGGCCCCAGACGATAAATAAGTAGATGAGATAAGCATCTGTGTTCTGCTTTAAAATGCATGATTGGGACAATTGTCTCAGGCCAATTGCTAAATGCATGATTAGAAAAATAACCTTATCCAAGCTCGCATCACGTGACGAGGTCTTTACATTAGCAAATCTCGCCAAACGTTTATGTTATCAGTAATCTTTAAATGAAAATCGAATCGAATGGGGTGATATTGTGAAAAAAATCTAACGGAAATGGAAATAGAATTATTATTTTTGAGAGAAAGATACGATTTTGAAAAATGTCTGTAATTCCTCAGATATATCTCAAAACCTCTTTACATGTATATGCTACTGGTTTGTGCAGGCGATCGGAATGCGCTGGACAGTGCACTCCTTAGTAAATAGCTGGAAATGGTATAGTGTATCACAAACACCATGTCGCTCTTGATCTATTGGTATACTAAAATATATCTGATAACTACGAAATGTTCTTCCCTGGCTTCAAATATTTTCGTAGTTTAATGTACATTAGCTGGAACGTATCAAATTCATTATGTTAACCATACTCTGACTTATTTAAGCTATTGTCGTCTTTTTTCATCTTTTGAGTCTCTTTATTTTTACAACAAAATATTCGATTGTTGATTTGTCCTTTAACAGGTTCGCTGATATGTCCTGACAACTGGCAGTCGTTTTGTGAAATGCCAGATTCATGTAAGTGTTTCGTGTCACATCATTAACCTATATTTACAGGCATTTGTGACAAATTGTTTGTATGCCTTATCTTTGCTTACATTTGATGTACAATTTAAAATATTTTATCCACATCCCTCCCCTACTGGTCTACAAAAGTGATATATCAAAAAAATTAATTTTGAACACATTAAAATAATTGCGATTTGACAGCATCCTTTAAAAGCTAAATTCATGTCAGATATAAAATAGGTTATGTACACATGTACCCAGCTAGTACAAAGTCTTTATGTTCGCCAAAATAATGTGCATATTCAAAATACGACAAAGGTAATACGGGCCTGTCAGATACAGCGAAATAGGGTATTACTCTCAGGATACAAAATATTGAAAACTCATGGAACCCGTATTGTGTAACTCTTTAGAAAGAAGTTTTCTAAGTATCAATAGCTTTCCGATATGCTGGCCAAGGCCACAAGTATTCCCACGCCGTTGGTTAATTAATATATCGATATCTACACAGCACGGTAACCATCCTCCGGGAATATTCTTAAGTGTGCGTGTCAACTTTATTTAAGCGTTTTCTCCAAATGGATATGTGTGTTTGTTTCGAATTGCTTTCTCTTATACTCAACATTTTCCCCTATTCAATTAATAATTTCATTTCAATTTTTTCGACTATGATAAAATGCATTTATAAATTGAGATATAAAAATCTCGTATTATTCATAAAATTCTTACGATATATAATTGCATGTAAGCCATAATATTGAATACAAATCATGACCATTTTCCTGCTTATTAAAGTATTCATGTTGAAATGGAATTCCTTTGTGAATGTATTGAAGATCTGTCCAATGTTGAACTGCTTTACACATTTATGTTTTTCAGCCACTTCCCGTCCGCTGTACTCGGAGATCCTGGTTGGAATCGGACTCTTACTCAGTTTCCGTCATATAGTATGACACCAATAAGCTGACGAAGGAAAGGCTGAAAAAATCAAAGTAAAAGAAAAAAATTGTAAAATTCGCCAAATATGTTGAACAATATTTAGATGAGAAATTGACTTATTCTAATGTTTAGAAGACAACTTTTGTTCTAAACAATCAATATTAGATACTGGTTTAAAGCAGAAGTATCAAATGTCAACCCCAAACATTAACTGATTGTATGGTCATAAAGTTCATCTTGGGGAAACAAAATGACCTCATGTTCTGCGTTTCTTCCTACTCTGAACTATTTTTCTTGCAATATTAGAATTTCAGAATGTGTTTGAGAGGATGGTTAAGTTAATGATGAATATGGAAAATAAACCTTCAGAAAAATAAATAGATTTATTCCAGTTACATATACTACCAAGGGAGACTAGAAATACTAAGATAAAATACGCTTTACTCCAAGGAACCATAACTGGATACAACTAATCATAGTACTCAGTATAGGAAACAGATGTACAAACTATGTACGTTTAATCATATTATAAATTGACTTTTTAGAAATCACCAAATTACCCAAATTCGTTCTACAAAGCAAACTGGGAATTCGGTTTCTCAATGGCGTACATTTGTTAGAGCTCTGAATGAATTCGAGATATTTCAATTAATTAACGTAACAGTCATTGAAACAATGCAATGAGCTCTTTGATTTGTCCAATTAGGATTCAGGATTAAAAGTACACCTGAACTATTTTCGACATCCTCAATGAAAAAAGTCACAGATGTGCTTATTTTGAATTATCTGTTCTCTCCCCTGTACATTTAACTCATCGTTTACTAATCAATACTTAAACATGTAGATAACAAAAATCTCTCTCAACGATATATAAATCTAACAACTGTTTTGTTTAACGAAGAATGGAGTATCTGTCTTGGAGAAGGATACACTTGCAGACATACATGTGGAAGTAGAAGGGAGGCTACTCAAATAGTGCAAATGACATTCAACTTATTGTTTGTTTTGTAACTGTGCACGATCTATGTAAAATAGAAGTTGATTCTGAGGAATATGTGCGTGGATGAAGAATGTTGACAGTAAATATAATCATGATTTTAATCATAAAACACTAACATGCTATGTTGTTTTGATCTAGACATTAGTTTTTTTCTAGATAGCTCTTTGATATCTTCCACTTTCAAACTTTCAGTTTTCCATTTTATTTGAGTCGATAATTCAAGGATTTCAATCGAAAGCTCTGTAATCAACAATATCTGTTATTGTGATATCATACTTATCATGCCGCCAGGGCAATGACTGGCTAGTGTATGTAATGAATGAGAGTGGAGATTCGCTTGTTTGCATTTCATTGATTTCTCTTCTATTTTGTTTTTATTTTTTAAATTTTTTTCATACATTACTTTTTGGTTCATGGATTAATGAATGTAATATTTGTCATGACTATTTTTACTTTGTACATATTTAATTAGGCCTATTATGCTATATATACACTTTAACTGATAGTGTGATTGACGATTGATAGTGTTGAAGTTTGCAGAATAAGATATTTATACACATACATATAAAGAGTTATTGATATATAAACAGAGATAATATTCCTTCTTGCTAGACACGGTTTATGCTTTATTTGTATAGACACCAATGTTATACAAACAGATATTAATCCTACGGCATTAGTTCGCTTTCCAAGCCAATCAAGGAAATTCTGATACTTCGGATGTATTTAACCTCGTTATGCGCAATTAAAAAACTGAACATTATAGATGTACTGTAAAGAGAAAAAACACACAAAGACACAATATTAAATAACACACAATGACACATAACATAAAATGACAATACACTACAAATATTAAAAGCGTCTCTGGACTATTTGATACTGATCTTTTTCGGTTGATGATTCATATTTTTAAAGACACTAATCTTTTCGCAATTATGTTTTTGTGAGGGAAGGTACCGTCGTATAGACCGAAATGATTCACGAACATGCAGCATATGTTTGCCACAAAACTGTTCTCGTGATTTAATGACTGTTTGATAAGATAAACAATTACTTACTTATTACTGTATTAAAAAAGGGAATATAATTTACAAAGGGACATGGGCAACTGGTCAACAAGATGCAATTTGTTACCTAGCAAAGATGTATAGAATCAGTCAACGCGAAAACTTTGCTGGAGCGCCATACTTGCTATCGGTGTTAGTGGTTTGTCTGGAGACGTCGAGCAAAATCTGATGAAGTTTCACAATAATATTGGTTGCATAATTGCTTTGCTATTTCATGAAAACATCGCAATTTTCCTAATAACCCAATTTCTTAAAGCAAAATATGACAACGCACATTCCCAGGTTATACATTGTGACATCGCGATATGGATCATAGATTAGATAGTTATGCAAAAGAAAAGCAGTTGAATAGAACCATTTACTACAAATTTAGAGTTCCATACAATTGCGCCAAGCAATGAACTAAATTGCATGTTATACTTTGTTCTTTTTAATAGATTCAGATGACATGAAAAGGACACCCGAGTATTCTATTACATTTTTCGTAACTGAAATGTTATGAAAAGGATACAAAACTGATTTTCATGTTTTATGAGTATTGTTTTTATTTATTTATATATGTACTTATCTATTTATTTTCTTATCAGCTCGCCAGAGGCTCATTACAATTTTTCAATTGGTTTCATAAACTCACAGGGAAAAGGAAACTGATATAAGAGTAAAAATGATATCATTGTCTGTTTTGGAACATTTTCGTTTGGTTGGTAATGTTGATAACATAGATGACAACACGGTCACCTTCATTCTTCATGCGAGAATCTGTTTAGTATTGGCCCACTGCGAAATATCCAGATAGCTTCCTTCACCAGCGCGTAACTAATATAACTTCAGTACATTGTTATCATCTTGTGTATTTTTGGTCTATAATACCTTCACCATCTTGTCGCATTATACTCGACTTTCTTGTACATAGAATAATAATACAGAAAACGTTGATCGATTCTTTACCATCTCATACACTACATACATCAGTGTTAGTACGCTCCACACTGGACATTTATCTGATGAAGGTGACCTCGTTATTATCGAATCGTTACACTCTAATCTTCTACTGGATGTGTTATAAAAATTCTATTTAATTATCACTGTAATAAAGAAGCGGAGATCAGGGAAAGAATATTTACTTTTAAACTCAGTCTTGGATATCTTTGGATATAGATTTTCTAGTCTGTACAAATGACAAAATTTTCTACTACTACATATTCATGATTTTTAACTGAATTTAACCTTTACACATACATAAATAACAACACATTGCACATATTTATCATTTAATGTTTATGGTGATAAAACACGAGAGCGTCCTATGTGATTAATATTATATGACCCGAATTATCGGTAAATCATGACTTCATTAATTATATCTGTAACATTTCATCATTATTTATTAATATACATATCATATATGTGTGTGTGTTCATGTCGTTGAATTATCGAGTGCAATACATATTATCACAAATATGTAACGTTGACGTCAACAATTTGTTCCCCTCCCGTCCTGTGTGCTAATAACAATTATAGATAACTGGAAGTCGACCTACAGTTGATTTAAGAAGTCAGTTAAAATTTAGGTTACATAAGGAAAGTTTTTTAGTACTTAGCATAGTAACCGGTGTTAGGGTAACTCATACTAAATTGCCATGCCTTACATTCTAGAACATGCATCCTCTGGACACTGTTTAATAGAATTGGTACGATGTATCATTCAGATTTTTTGTCAAATATATATACATATTAAAACAATTTCTTTGTATCAAGTTCATATAATGAAAAATAATCAAACTGGAAACATTTCTTATTTGTAAAGCACAAGCGTTTACATGTGAAATCTTCAGCCGCTTTACAGTTAGTTTTGCTGGCTTAGTAAGCCTACATGGTTGTCTGCATGGTAACACAATATGACGTCATTAATAATGGCTTATGTTTAGGTTTAAGCTGTTATGCTTTACTTATCAAAAGTGTTTCGAAATTTGTTATTTTCTATATATAAATGTGTATATATCAATTTAGGAATTACTCCAAGAAAGCCATTGCTGAGAAGACCATGTGGCACTATACATTTTAATATCTCATATATATTGGTGTTTGTGTTATTTTATTGTTGAAAGTCCAGTTCATGGGATGAAGCCTATCATGGATGAAACACCAATCTGCATTTGTATAACAAAATAACAGAAAATGGATAGATCCATTGTAAAATTTGAAAAACAACCAGCTGTACTATGAATAGCATTGAACCCATTAAGGAAAACCCTCAACTGTGGGTCTTCACAAACACATATGTATCTTAATGTAAGTTTGGATAAATGAACTTGCTCTTGCTATCAACTCTGGCCTGGTTAGAATATATGTAGTTTTTGATTGTGGTACACTGGAAGGCATTTATCAAACATTTATACACGTATAGTAGTGTAATACCCTGTATTATTTTGTTTTTTTAACATTAGTTTCTCAATTAAAATTGTCAATATTTCTGCTCATCTTAACTAATGAAAGTGTGAGTTTTCTTCATTCTTAGTTTTCATTTTTCACTTATTTGCTAATAACGAGACCCATTGGGAGACTGCACATTTCGTTCAATATTTTAATTTGAAGTAAAAGTAATTTAGTTTTTTGTTGCCAATTCAATTCGAAATTCGTTTATCAACTTTTAGAAAATACCTCATCAGTCTGTTTCAATCCAGATATCACGAATAATTCTTTGGGTACATGCACAGTGTTTTATCATTTAATTCGTGTATGATCATTATAACAAGGCTTTACATTACCTGCACAATTGACAGAATCGTGTGTATTGACGAAAGAAATAAAATCAATCAGAAATACAATATGAGAATTGTTGTTTATTGTAGGTTTGGATGACATACATTGTACTTTCTTGTACCTCCACCTCTGGGTCGTGGGTTCAAAGCCTATGTTGGGCAGTCGCAAGGTAATGACCGCAGGTCGCTTTTATTTTCTCCAGGAACTCCGGCTTCCTTCACCAACAAAACGTGGCACGGCCTAAAATGATGCTAGTTGTTAATACGACGTAAAGAAATACATTTCACCTAATACCGTATGCAATAGCAGATAGGATTTCATATTAAGTACAGACATATTATAACAAAATTTTGTATAAGATGGCCGAGAACATTGGCCACCATATATATATATAGTTGAAAAAAATCAAATCAACACGACAAATGTATTCCGCTAACTATTTAATCGATACACAAAGCATCTTTAAGTTACATCTATATATATATACATGCACAATAGCCATGAAAAAGACAGAACTCACTTCGTCTTAACACGTCATCATGAAAAATAAATAGCTAGCGACTTTAACAGGATTTGGGTGATTGAAATACGACAAATCAACAATACTCTTTGTATTTAGGTCTAATAATTCATTATAACACGCCCTCTATATACAGTTATCATTCTTCATATGTTTCAGCCAATATTTGATAACAAAAAACGATGTATGTATTCAAGAAAATGACCAAGTTCGAAATAAACTATTGAGTTAATACCAGTTTTCTGCACACCAACAGATTTCAGGAACGCTAAATGAAGTTTTACAATCTGTGACGCAGTGTTGAAGTCCCAGATATCACGACCGTAATTCACAATACATGATATATAAGTATCAGCTAATATCAACTTGGTCTTTGCCTTCAAGGTTAGCCTTTTTATCTTACGTCTAAATAGATAATAGGCCATTTTGCCTTGTGTAACAACAAATTCACCATTATAATTAAATACCAAGTCTACATAACAAAACCTTATCTACAATCTCTGTCTTTTCCTTTCAATTTCCACCATACATTTGGTAAGAATCGCTTGTTGTTGGTTTTTTCTTCTAAAATCCACTATTTAAGTTTCATCTACATCCACAGTCACACTCCAACGATCCCAATACGTCTTTAAAGAGTATTTTGAAGCTAGTCGACATCTTCAGAGAATAGCACGGTGTCATTTGCATACATGATTAAATACAGATTAAGTAGTTGAATGTTAGACTCAATTAATTTTGATGTCATGTCATTAATAGATAAAGAAAACATAATCGGTGATAAAGAATTCCTTTGTAACAGGCCAACTTGCATGTCGATCATTGGAGACAGTTAACCATGCAGCTTTACGCACGATTTGACACTTTAATATATAGATTTAATAACATTCAATAAACGCCCCCGACACCAGATTTCCACAATTTAAACCATAAGTTATCATATAGATTGCTATCGAAACATTTTCTGTAGGCAACAAACACAAAGTAAAGCCTTTCGTTACTTTTGTAATTAAACTATGAAGTACAAAAATCGCGTCTTTAGTACCGCTACTGGGTTTTAGACCGAACTGAGCCTCTGATATTAATCTTACTTCATTTAAGCAAGCGCTTATTTGAAAGTGACGTAAATAGTCTGGCAATATGATCAATGTAATGCTTCCTTAATATAAATATAATATAAAGACCTGCATGTAATATGTTATTAAACAATTTTAGTAAAACTGGCCAAAAAACTTCCTTATATTAAATAAAATACTAACTTAATACTCCGTCAAGTCCTGATATCTTAAGCGTAGATTGACCCTTAATTTAAACAAACAGCCCATCAAGATGAAATCAGTATCCAATTCAGGATAAATGTATACATTATTCATAGCATGTTGCTCCGTGTTTCCGTAGGTATCAAAGAGGGCATATTAGAAATTAATTTGAAATACCATTGTATTCATAAAACATCCAGCGTCCTGACTCGTACGCCTTGCAAAAATGTTGATAAAAATATTTTTGATCGTCCTTTTGTACTTGTTTGACATGTCAACTTCCATCTAGAGATAATTTTGCTTCGCTCTTGCTACATGAAAAAATTGTAATTTTTCCTGAAGCGAACCAAAACTTCTCTATTTTCTGATGATTTCCATATGTTAAAAGAAGACAAAGCTACTCTATACGCCTGATGTAGACGTTCACATTGCTTATCAAATCAGGGCTTATCTGGTTCTTCAGTCTTGAATTTAGACCATTGGTGGCATGGACAACAAATATGCACTTACAATCCTATCATTACTCGGGAAGTACCTATCTAACTGACAGATATATTGGTACACAATTCATCTGTTGCATTACAACACTTACAACTACTGGTAAATGCCCTGAAACTAACAAACAATGGGGCGTTATCGATTGGAAAATGAATTGTAATTTCCAACTCTACAATTTTCAACAACTCCCATATGTTCTCTGTGTAAGAAAGTAATCTATTGTTCTTGTATCTAATGCATTAAGATGTAAATTTACCACCAATATCGCCTAGAGTCCGAACGTTCAATTTTTTTGCAAAACTTGTAAATTCACACATTTGTAACAGACGACGTCCAGTAATCTTCCTAATTACGAATGATATCACTATTAACCTCGTTTTATGGAATAGCATCATCTAGTGTAAAATATTATGGAGAACATCAAATGTCATAAAGTCAGCATCCTTTACCTGTTCTACTATCAAAGTCACAAGCTATAAAGTCTTTACCCATGTTACTAAATTTAGCAATGTTGGATTCGAATTGATCACATAAAGCGATGCCCTAACTGTTGTGAAATGTCGCATTTACTGGGGTTATGTACACAAAACAAAGGTAACTTTGATTTGATTTTCAAATAACTAGCTTCAACCAAAACCAAACAATACTGTCAGCTTCAACAGTAATTAATGAAATATTCTTTTTCAATCGTGATTTAGATACAAAAATCTTCTCGCCCCTTTGCATTTTCTTCTTTTGAAAGGCGGATTGAATTCAGAACTCAAAACCGTCTACAGAAAACGTATCATTTCACCAGCATTCGCTCAAAAGAACAATATCAGACCCCTGAAAAATCTCGATTCGGGACAGAAAGATAAAAGTGGCTCTCCTTTTTTGTCTCTCTTCTCTCTCGTTAAATTACAGATGTTCCATTACAAGGTAAATCAAAATAATATACCAAATATCAAACGTTTAAAAAAAAAACCATCAACATTAAATGATAAAAAAACGGACACTTACCATCAGTGGAGGAAGAGTTCGCGTGTGAACCGATGTGTTTTAGTACATTCATGTAACGTCATTTTATAACAGATGAGAACATGTTTATATCGTATGATGACCTCATGTTCTCTACCAGCATGCAAAACTTGAAAACCTGTGTTACGTTTTTCTCTGCTAAAACTTAGCATATCTATTAGAAATATGCACTGATATTCTGAAAAAGCTTCAACCTATCTATTCCACTGCGATGTGTAAAATATATATACTTTGAATATATAGAATTGAAACGTCTGGTTGCTCGTTCGTAAAAATATACTTTCCGTTTATAACTTTATAATATATACAATAGAACATTGAAGACTTAAGCTCACGAAATACTAAGATGAAAAATATCAAACTTTTGATATCGCTATGGAAAGAATTCCTGAGGAAGTAACCGCATTACCTGGCGATAAAATAGGTTGTCTTCGTGATGATATTGGTGTGTTATCTACTGACAATTATGACATCATCTTCACGGTTTTTGACGTCACAGTAGCACTGTCGGCTGGCGTTGCTCGTGTAGACGTCGAATTAACTGAATGCAGAAGACATGGATGAAAACATTTTGAGGTAATTTCTCTTTTAATTACCTGGACAAAGTTTTCATTCTACTGAAAACGGAAGTACGATAAAATCGTCACAACAACGTAGTATATTTTAGTTGCTTCGAGTATATAAACGACGGACCTCGCCCTTGTTGGTCAAGGATGTAGCAACATCAAAATGAGTCTTGTCACAGGGTGATAAAGCCAGTGAACATTCAGATCAATAATTATGTTTTATTGTACCATTACACACAAGTTTCTGATATCCATTATATTCTAATTATAAAAATATATAAGTTAACGAAAAGTAACATACACACACAATTGTAAAAGACTGAGAAGTCATTTTACTGTGTAAGGGGAGATAACCCCCAAATTATGTTCTCCTGCAACTCTCGTAGTCAAGAGGTAAATCATAAACGTAGAGAGTTGAATCTTCCAATTAACTTTTTTGTAAAACCGGAACACTGGAAATCATATCCTCCAATCATAATCAAGCTCTTTATGGCGACTCCAAACGGCTGGAACATGCCTTTTCAAACATTTCATGCATGAATTTACATCATTTGTTGTGTTTACAAGAACTAGAGGGCAGGGATGTTCAGTTTTATGGAGGATTGCACCTACATTTCGGCAATCTACAACAACAATTGTTATGTGGAGGCAAGCATGACAAGCATTTGAAGAACAGTACTGTTACAGGGTCAGATCTTCATGTATATATATCACACGACGCCTGTGTAAGTTCAGGTGGACCATTCGGTCCGTTTATTCCATTAGACAGATGTACTTACAAGACGAACTCTGCAATGACAATACACAAATAACATAAACCATATAACAAATATCACACACACAAAACATACATATATCACTTTGACAAATAGATCATTTAACTGTATACTTGCAACACTAGTACAGCATTGAGAAATATTGAATTTTATTAAACTGTTGTTACAGAATTCCATTACAGATATAGCGAATATAAAGATATTTCTATGAACAATGCGTTCCTAGTTTATTATTTAAAATATGAAGTATTATAACTAAACCTGAATACTATAAATTATCTACATACTTAGTGGGATACATATAAAATTAATTACCTATATATGGCACAGAGTTTGTAGGTATCTTGTCACTTATTTTTACATATTGGTAGGCCAAGTCTGTAAAGATACAAACAGAGAAACTAGAAATCCGGACTAAATTAACTGTGTCAT